ATCACATAGTTCTTGGGTAACAGCAGCAACGACCACCACCTTCTACAACAATGTTTTATAGCAATCTGCAAGCCAGAGAAAGGTTTAAATCATCTTGCCTTAGGTGTTGCTGGCATTATTTGCATTCAAAGCTTAAGTCATGAAGGGAATAATTAGAGCGTTAGCTTGTGCTATTGGAAATTACTTCTTCCAAAGCCCTCCTGGAAAAATGTTTGCATTTCACCCTAGCTTCTGGAGGAGACCAAAATATGAGAGAATCAGTAAGAGAGGCTGGGAGGGGCTTTGAATCTGCCACTATAAAAAAGAAAAAAAAATTTTACATTCTAAATATCTGAAGTGAGTCCTGGTATTCCCATATTTTCAGAAAATTGCCCTCCTCAGTTTTCTCTTCCTTAGAAGAAACAGACCCAGATCTTTCAACCTGTGCTGTCAATATTAGGCAGTGAACTGACTAGCTGAGCATTAGCCCTTCCGAAAAGGAACTGGACATGATAGACAACTTAAAGTTTAATATGCACGGTGTACAGTCAACTCAAATGTAAATTCCAGATATATCTCAGCTACAAGATCTGGTTATATGTGAGATCTGATTATATTCCCCAGTATTTGGATAGTTGTGCTTCATGAATTCTAAGAATATATCAAACTTTAATTTTTATTATGCACAGCACTGCCACTTGGTATTTCAGATTTGATGTAAATGTAAGCACTTCACTAATGAGGTACTTAACAGAAAACGTAATGTAAATATTTGGGTAAAACTTCCAAAAGGAAGGAAGTTGTGCACATTACTTGAACATGATATAATGAGCCATACCTACAACTATGTTGCTGTACAATTAACTTTTCTTTTACACCTCAGATATTTACACCCATTTATTTACAAAATTCTTCCACAGCTAGTTAAGCATTTGTGTGGCTCATTAAACTGTTAGTCACTCCAGAGATGTCATACAATTGTTAATAGATATTTATACACATACTGTTGAGTTACTTTGAGCATGCTCTCACTCACTGCATTGGAAATATTTAGTCCTTCCAAAGCCAGGCAATGACATTCAATATTTGTCTGTAAGAAATACGGATTTTTGCAGCTTTTCCAAAGACATTACTAATATTTTAATGATTTTGTAGATGTTGGATCCATGTTCTATCAAAGTAACTCTACACTAATATTCCGGACCATTGATAGACCTACAAATCTCTCTTGAAAACTGTTCCATATACAAAAAAATACTATAATTCTGTACTTTATGAATGCATTTCCCTTCTACTTCCCTCTCCCCAGAAAGTGCTGCAGCAACAATCGTTTCATGGCACTGAGGATCTCTCTGTTCCTCAGGGTGTAGATCATGGGATTCATGAGGGGAAAAACCATGGTGTGGAACACAGCCACCACCTTGTCCAGGGGCAAGCTGCAGAAAGGCCGGCAGTAGATGTATATAGCTGGTCCAAACATAACAAAGACAATAATGATGTGGGTGGTGCAGGTAGATGCTGCTTTGCTCTTCCCTCTGGAGAGGCCTGTTTTCAGACGGATTAGCAGGACACCGTAGGAAATCAGCAGAAGAATGAAACATATAAAGACGACTAGGCCACTGTTGACAAACATGATAAACTCCAGTATGTAAGTGTTGGTACATGCTAACTTAATCACTTGTGTAACATCACAAAAGAAGTTGTCCAGTTCATTGGGGCCACAGAAGGGAAGATGAACAACAAATGCAACCTGGATGATTGAATGTGTGAATCCTCCAGCCCATGCTGTCCCCACCAAGACCCAACAGAGCATTTTCCTCATTAAGGTTGCATAATGAAGAGGCTTACAGATAGCCACGTATCTGTCAAAGGCCATAGCTATGAGCAGGAAGATCTCAGCACCACCCAGGAAGTGGAGAAAGAAGAGCTGCGCTATGCAGCTTCTAGAAGAGATGGTTTTCTGTTGTGAGAAGAAACCAGCCA